AGATAGTATTATCACATAAAATGAAGCAAATAAACAAACTTACATTGAAAGAAAGTTTATAAAGTTAAAACAAATAAATATTAAGCTTTCTTTTGAAATTTGGTTGATCTTACAATATGGTAACTGGTAGTTGGCGACATTTGAAGCGATAAAGGTTATTACTGGGACTTTGGTAATAATGTGAGCAGTACTCAGTTCGATACGCATTATTTTGTGGGGGAAATGAGGATCATGGGATTGTCGTGATATTAATGGACAATTAGTTCTTTAATCGGAAAAGGGGGGAATTTGGACAAGTATCTGTGGATGTATATATTTGTTAAGCTTCATTGTGTGTTGGTGAAGTAAGTTGAATAATTTGGGATTTGGCGCTGTCTAAAGTGAATTGTAGATGTGATAAAGATAATTTTCTTTTATCAAATTCTATCAAATCGGAAAAAAAAAAATCGTTCAGTAATTTTATTGAATCCATAATAAAAGTGTATCCACCATGTAAGGAGATTCAGAAGAAGATTAGGTTAGTTAGACTTGTAAGAATGTGGTAGTATTCAGTCTGATTGCATTATTTGTGTGAGGAAATGAGAGATCATGGGATTAGGTCATGTGATATTAATGGACGAATTACTGTTCTTAATCGGGAAAAAATCTGGCAATTTTGTATGGCTTATTCTGTGTTGTGTGAAATAAGGCTTGTGAAGTTTTTGGATCCCATGGCCGTAACTAACGTGAATTCGAAAATGGGTTTTAGTGGTATTGAAAAGGATAGTAATAAATTTTTTTAAGGTTGTGCAAGAGAGAAATAAAGATGTTTTATATGTTATTATTTTACCTGGTATCTTGCTTTGAAAGATAAGTATGATTTTAAAGATTCTGAACAGAAGGAAGAAAATTGTATCGCCACGTAATCAAGATTCTGAAGAAGATTAGGTAAGTAGTATTTTTAATTATTTGAGGATATTATCTTTATGCATTGTTGAAAATGTAAGGTGGAAAGGAATTTGGTATTATTGGGAAAAATTGTTATTAGCAAATGATTTAGTTTAACAGTAATTAGGATTGTAAGGTAATTTTTATAATTTAATGTATGTGCTCATTTATATTTTAAGTAGTGTTTTTGAATTTAATATATTTTAATAAAATGATATTTATTTTGTGAATTTTATGTTTGTAGGAATTTGGTATACGTTTTGAAATAAACGTGCATGGAAATAATTTAATATTTGATATTAAGTATTACGTGCATAGCGTGCGATAAACGGCATGGAAATAATTTAAATCTTTGATACTAAGTATTTGTAATGCTTGCGGTATGAATTCGTTGGTGGACGTGTATAATGTAATAGATGATTTTAGAGGTAAAAAGTTTTTGGATATTTATTTATTTTATATGTGGAAATGTTCATATTGTAAAGGGTAAATACTTTTTCGCGATCAGGTAATTTCATATATGTTCTTTTTACGGGTTTAAAGATTGAGAAAATTGTCATGTATTTTCGTGAAATTTTTTGAATTTTTTTCTGTACATCTTATTTTTGAGAAAAAAGCAGTGTACATGGATTATAGTGAAGAGTGTGCGCAATGCCATTTTGTGCAATTTGGGATGTTTTTTTAAGTAAAATAAGTCGGCGTGCACATGGTTTATGTGTATGTGTTATTTGAAAAAATGCGTAAGGAGGATGGTATTGTGCCAGTTTTTCCTAATTTTGCAGTGTGAATATTGTCATGATTAAGCAGTTTTGTTTGATAAATTTTCTAGCATAAGTGTAATTCGGCTAGTAGGTTGTTGGAAGAAGTGTTCAGGAGATAAAAAGAAAAGAAACATGTCTTTACTTCGTGAAGACAAAATGGCGGCGGGGAAAAAAAAATAGAGGGTTGCTGTAGGAGAGTTAGTCGCCAAATTTTCGCCAAGTTACCATAATGTAAAGATCAACCGTAAATTTTGATAACCTTAAGATCATAATTGTTCTTTATTTCATAAACTACGTTTTCATATTTTTAATTTTATAATTTCTGTTTGCCCTCTTACCAGATTTAAACTGACGATCTATAATCCGGAAAATCGATAATCCGGAATCGCCGAAGTCCCGACGAGTGTGGATTAACGACTTTTGACTGTACAAACTAGAAACTGAATATGATCTTCTAGAAGATAATACAAAAATAGACAAGCAGGAGGGGCATTATTATATATTGCAACAATCATCAGACTAGATATAGCATGTACTGTCAAGCTACTGAGTAGAAGAAACGAAAAACTTCGGAAAATAGATTGGAATTCTGTCAAGAAAGTTATTCGATACTTATATACAACTAAAGACTTTAAGTTGATCTTTAACAAAGTTTAAGAACTTATCCTATCTGCATATTCAGATTGTGTAAATGACAGAACAACAAGAAAATCTATTATAAGATACCTATTGAAACTCGGAAATAACTGCATTTCATGGAGCAGCAAAAGGCAAAACTGCATTGCATTACCTTCAACTGAAGCTGAATATATTGCAGCAGCTAATACAGCACAAGAAGCACAATGGCTGTTAAATTTGCTTAAAGATCTAGAACTAAAACAAAATCTGCTGATTACTTTTTATGAAGATAACAAGTTATGCATCAAACTTTCACAGGCCTGAAAAATAGTTCCAGAACAAAACAAGTAGACATCAAATACCATTCTGGACACCCTGCAAAGGAGTCAATTGTATGACTTGCTTTCTTTTTTTCCCCCTCACTCCTTCAGGAAAGGACAGTGATATGACACTCTTTATTATATAACTCTTTTTTGATATGTATTGTGTAAATTAATTACAACTATGCTGATACTGCACTGGATACAAGGTAAAAGGAATCATTTTGCTCTCTACTTTTGTTGTGAAATAGTGAGGCTACAAAAATTTTTACAACAGGAGGAGGAAGAAAGAAAACCACAACATTAAATAATATTTAAAACTCTAGGTATTTTTCATGGGAGAATATTATACATACATATAAAATATAGATCTTTTAAAAAGCACTTCAATTTGAAATACAACACAGAAATAGCAAATTTTATACAAATTTAGTGAAAATGAAAACATAAGGGAAACACTAATAGTATCATCTCTTCATGATATTACACTCTCATATATTTTTTTGTCAAAAGAATTTCTAGAGACCAAAAGCCATTGATTTCAGATTTTGACCAGGTACTATCAACCAGCTGGACTTTCATTCACAATTAATACTCATTTTTAGCTTAGGTGTGGTTAATACTAGTATGAGCTGCTTACTGTTGCTTACATCTATTAAGTAAAAATCAGTTACAAGTTTTCCATGAAATTCTTTTAGACTTCTTTTAAATACAAAAAATCAGATACAAGCTATCCATCAAATTCCAAAAATTAGTACGATCAAACTGCTCTTGTCTACTCAGTAAAAATGTAAAGCTAAAATACAAAACATTATTAAATAATATTAATAATGAAATTGGGCCAGCTAATGTAATATAATAAGTGTACATATTTATAACAAAATATCATTCAGCAGCTATAACAGAGCTGTTAAACATATATGTTTTACTCTAAAATAAAACTTTCATAATACCAAAATTTCTTCATTAATTACAAAATTTCAAATATCTGTTTTGATTATTTTATATGCATAATAGTAAAATTAAAAAAGATTAGTATTAATAAAAATAGAGTAACAAAACACTTTTATGCTATATTATAAATATAAAAGCATAAAGAATTAAAAATGGTTATACTAATCAATTTAAATCTAACTTAAAATGAATTAAATTAAAACAAATTTAAATTCTTAACAAATACGTATAAAAGTAAAAAAGCAAATTTAAATTCTAAAAAAAGAAAATTTAAATTAAAATGAATTAAACATTTTCAATTACTGCAGATGCTCTCATATTAATAATTTCATTTTAATGTTTATGTAGGGATAGTTTTTTTTTTCCTAAGTATCAATAAATTTAACAAGATGGTTGGGCATTCACTTTAATGAAGGAAAATGTCCATTTTAATAAAGAAGTTCAATTTCAGTTATGAACAGTTTTTACAGCACTGAGATATAATAGCTGGAAACAAGAAAATTATTTTAATCTCTCAAAATATTTTTAATTGGAATCCAAGCAGAGAAATAAAGTAACTTAAATATGCATATTAATACACAGTAATATTTTAAGATAGTAAATTATGCATACTTTCTGATAAATTAAAGATGTAAAAAGAATTAACATACTTTATTTATACTCCAACTTGATTTCTAAATTATAGTTAATAAAATCATGAAATTATTCTGAAAATTCATATATTACTCATTACATTTTATAAATACTTTATAAATGAAAATAAATTAAGTTTTTAAAATCATCAATAAAATAAGTTTTGAGCATAATTTATTGAAAGGGAAAGGAATCTTTGAAAGCAAAACTCAAATACACATTATCCCTACATTATTATTATTATTTTGTATTATAAGAATAATAAAGAAAACATTAAAAATATCCTTGATTCACTCACATATTTTAACCTGCTTATCTAATTCTAAAAAATTGCACATGCAAGGTTTATCTAAACAAAGTATAAATTAGACACAATTTTGATTTCTCAGCAATAAATTTTTACACAATGTTTAAAAGTCCAATAATGGGCTGGGTCTTTCCTATATATCAATTGCATAAAACCTAAAAATATTTCACAGACTTTTAAAAACTGTATAAAATATAAATGGAATAGCTCTTACAAAATTAAGTAAACACTGTTTAATATTATAAAGATAATCGAAGAGGTTAAAAGTGAAGTTCCTTATAGAGATATCCACATTAATGACAGCTAGAAAGGAAAGAAAATATACGCAGATTACGCTGTTTCAAACTGTTTATCTTGCATACTGATACATTTCATGTTTCATTCAAATCATAAGAAAAACTCCAATATCTTTTATTAGATTCAACTAAGCAAACCAATATTAAGAGATAAACCCTTACACTATGTAAGAAAAATTCTTACTTAGAAAGAATCTGTTCTATGAGGATATAGCGATTTGGTCCTGGCTTCGTCATCATTTCACCAAACTTCTGGTCATCACTAATAGTACCAAAATTCTAAAAAAAACAGGGGTTAGGTATTTAAAACGCATATCAGATATTTTCCATTTTTTATTGTAGTTTTATAGTTCCAAGCTTATCGATAAAAAGCGACAAATCAGAAAAAGAAGGAACTCACTTTCAGTTTGCCTATAATATTCTTAAGTTTCGCATCATCATCCAACTGCTTACTCGGATCATTCATCATTCCTTCGCTTAATTTCAAATGAAAGACGAGCAATGCCTGTACCACTGAGTATAACGAGTCTGTACATACACAAATAACGAATACGGACCAAAAACGTCTACGAGTATGACATGCACAATTCTATAATACACATTCTTGCATATTCTTCAGAGAAGAGCCTACTGGCTCCAATTCAACTCCTTTATACCACTAAAGCAATGTTAAAAACCCACCAAAAGCAATGTTAAAAACATAATAAAACGAAAGCCATTGATTGGATCACTTGGGCGCTTGGGCAGCCAATCCTGTAAACAGAGGTCCTCAACAAGGAGAGGGAAGACTTCTCCTTCGGGAGGAATTTCAGGAGTATTTAGTTTTAGGTAATGAGTTTATAAAAATCCAGTTTTATTAAAATTTTGGCATTTATCAACATTTTCTATACTTATTCTTGTTTTATTAAATACACATTTCACATTCGAATTCTTCGAATTTTCCATATTCACTTCGTAGCCTTTTATAATAAAAAATTATTACAAATCTAAACGAAGAAGATAATATGAGCAAAGACATGAAAAGAGGCACATGAGTGAAAAATGAATAAAAAAAAAGGTCTATTATTTGGATAAAAAATTTGTCACCAAAAACAGTCTCCGGCGGTGGCTTATTCCGATCGTTTCAATTTCTTCAGTTCCCGGCGGATTTTAGCTGCTCCCCTTCTAAACGGTCTTTGGTCTTTGGTGTGTTGGTAGTTTGTTGACAAATCACAGGCTGAGGCCGTGGCCGTACGATTACGCAATGCTAAGTAGAGACAGACAGTCCTGCAGTTTAATCTCAATGAATGAGATTTTCCTAATCAACAATGGTATCGTATAGAATCTCGTTTTAAATTGGGCGGTTTTCTTTTTTCTTTTATAGTTTATGCTTTTTAATATCACATTCGGTTGTAAAGTTTTATTGTATGATTTTTGATTCGATGGCAGTTAAATCATTTTACTCAATAAATAAATAAAGTAATTACAAGGAGCTAATAATTGAAGAACCGAAATATTGAGTATTTAATTGCATGCTATTATTTTTCTTTTGAAATATTAAGAAGCGACTACGCAAATTATAAGAGTGAGCTGCAATCATCATGTAAAATTTTTACTTTTTATATAATGAGTTAAATGTTGCCACATCAAAACCTTTTTGTTATATGTATATATATATATTTGTAAAAATATTCTTTTTTATTTAGGCTGATCTAAGCGCAGATGATAAAAGTATCAATTCAATACCTCTGGAAATGGCGTCTGCATCGCCGTAAGTGAATTTCAGCCTGTGTTTTCATTTTATAGTAATGATTCATTTTATGCTAATAGATTTTAGTGTAGTTCCAGTTATTAAATATTCTTTTCCAATTGTTAAGTTATGAAGTGTTTTAAGCAACTCTTTATAACTTAAAACATTGGAATGATTTACTTTTGTCACTTGTTTTAATGTGGTTAAACTTGTTTTAATGCAAGCAGCGGAATATCATTTCCAGATTAGATCATAAATGTTCAATGCATACAAATTAAATTCTGATGAGAATTTGATTAGCACTAAGATAATTTTATTGCCAATTTGAGTATCAAGGGCTTTGGTTACTGTGGAAGTAACTTTGGCAGTGGGCTGGATAATTTCTTAAAAACTCTATATATTTCTGTTCGCACTGAAGGTGTAAGTACTGCACCTAAAAAAAAATGAATGATGATGACACAACATTTATCTGGCCAGTAGAAATTACGGCTCTAGTGTAGGATTGGGTGCCCTTTCGATTAGCGACAATTTTTTAAAAATTTTGGCGATGAAAACCTCACTTCTGTTTACCATGATAGTTTTAACTTTGTTTTGGCTTCCTGATTTTATTTAAATGAAAATAGATTGATGTGTACATGGACAAATTTAAGGCAGTGCACGATGCCTAGTTTGTGCAATTCTAAGATGTTTTTTTTTAAGTGAAAACAGATCAACGTGTACATGGACACAGAGTTTGTACAATTCTTTGACTTCTTATTTTGGTTTTGTGTATGGGCCCTCTTAATATTGTGCCTTCCAAGTGCCGATCTTGGCATGAAAAAAGAATCACCAAAAAACAAGGGGCACCCAATTGTAAACTTTACCGAAATTGCTTCATTAGCCATAATTATACATCATTTGTATTTGAACATCATTTCTCAATGCATAATTTCGAGAATAACTCCTATATGCAAGCCACATAAGAGCCTTCTGAACTGTTAATTACATTAATTTATTTGCCAGTCTTTTTATATATAACAAACATCTGTCATCTTTGTGTTTCCGTATAATTTAAGGATATGTTTAATATTTATTTTATGTAATGGATGTTTTGTAAATTTCTGAAGTGTATTCATAACTATTCTGTGATTCATCTTGATTTCAGATGTGATTTATTCCGTCTGAAATTTTGTTTATTGTGTTAAATAAAACATATTTATGTTATTCCTGAATTAAATTACATAAGCAAATAAATTATTTATGTAGTCTGAATTAAAAATGCATATCATCATATAAATTCAGTCTCAGTTCATTCTTCTAAATATGCTGTATAATAATTTTGTCGTATTTACAAAAAAAAAAAAAAAAAAAAAAAGCACTTGCCAAAGTGATCATCTCAGTCAGTCACCAGAATTAGCTAACTTGAATGCCAGGTTTTTAACCTGCATTATATTTGATTTTCATTTTTTTGATAATGATGCTGTACATATGATATTATTTTTTCAATGTTTCTTCTCTTCCACTAAAATATTTACAGTATTTTTTTTATCAAAGCCAGGTTCAGAAACGTATGTATACAGTCAAAAGTCGTTAATTCGGACACCCATAATCTGGAATGATCTATAATCCGGACCTCAAAGCTACAAACTTTCTGCGCATGCATCAACGCGATGCATGCGCATAGGCGTTTACACATGCGCGTAAGACGTTTACGGCTGTGAATATGCATGTGCGCATGCGCATAATACGTTTACGCATGTGCGTTTAATGTATAACGGACGGTATAAGCTAAGCTAAAATATCTAATTCAGTTAATGTTGCAGATTGCGTTGTTCTTAATCTTCGAATTGGATCCTGCTTATTATTTTTTTGCAGACTGTTAGAGCAATTTTATAAAAGTAAGCTTGAACTTTTGATTATGTCAAATAGAATTTCTGATATATATTTACTAATATGTAAAGGATCTACAAAGTGAAAGTAGACCTCAAAGCTACAAACTTTCTGCGAATGCATCGCGTTGATGCATGCGCATAGGCGTTTACACGTGCGCGTAAGACGTTTACAGCTGTGAATATGCATGTGCGCATGCGCATAATACGTTTATGCATGCGCGTTTAATGTATAACGGACGGTATAAGCTAAGCTAAAATTATCTAATTCAGTTAATGTTGCAGATTGCGTTGTTCCTTAATCTTCGAATTGGATCCGGCTTATTATTTTTTTGCAGACTGTTAGAGCAATTTTATAAAAGTAAGCTTGAACTTTCGATTATGTCAAATAGAATTTCTGATATATATTTACTAATATGTAAAGGATCTACAAAGCGAAAGTATGTTTCGAAGTCCATTAAACAAAAAGTGGAATTGCAGTAAAAAATGGATAAAGGCATATCGTTTTTTTCTCTAACCATTCCGAAATCTGTTTATCAATTTCACCCTGCTCTGTGGCGGGGGAAGGAAAATGCCGTGGCGCACAATGAATTGGAAGTTGATGTGTCAGCACTATCCTTATATTCAGAGCAGATGTTTTTATTTTATTTGGGTTATAATTCCTTACTAAATGTAGTATTTCATCTCGATGTACTCCATCTTTGATATGATTTAAATCAAGTTTCCTCGTCATATAATTCGCTTCCTGATAGTGAAGAAAGTGACACAGAGGTTATTGAAAACGAAAAATTTCGATTGACAAATTAGTCGGTATTCTCGACACAGCAATTATAGGACTTGAACAGCGGAACTTTGTAACTAAACAAGAAATTATGTCTGTTTATAGAATTAAAGAGAAAGTATTATCACATAAAACGAAGCAACTTAAACAACTTACATTGAAAGAAATGTTTAATAAAGTAAACAAATAAATATTAAGCTTTTTTTTTTTTTTGTAAATTTTGATACCCTTTAGATCATAATTGTTCTTTATTTCATAAATTACGGTTTCATATTTTTAATTTTATAATTTCTGCATGCCATCTTATCAGATTTATGATGATCTATAATCAGAAAAAATCGATAATCCGGAAACGCCGAAGTCCCGACGAGTCTGGATTAACGACTTTTGACTGTATATGTTTTGTGTTGTATATACACACATATATATTGTACATACATACATATATACATATATTTCTGAATCCAGTCCCAAATAGTACCATGTATACAATTTTTAACTTATAATCAAGAAAAAATAATTTTTTTGATGGAATAGAAGCAGTAATTTTTTATGGTACTGATAACATATAACACATTTGATTTTCACATTAACTTTAGACCATGTGATATTGTTCTAGAGATAATTATTTTCCCTTTAAAATGTTAATGTACTTCTAACTTTCCATTAGTTAGAAAATAAGCAGTACTTTCCTCGTGGTGTATATTTTTCCACATTATTACTTTTTTCCCCTCTAAAATGTTAGTCATCAATTAGGGAAGGATGCTTTTTTATTCCTCATGGCCACGGAACATAGCATACTTAGTCAAAGTGTAAAAAATGGCTACTAAAATTATTATTGTGTTTAATCCGGACTCGTCGGGACTTCTGTGATTCCAGATTAGGGGTTTTTCCGGATTGTAGATAATCAATTTAAATCTGGTAAAATGGCCGGCAGAAATTATAAAATTAAAAATATGAAACCAGAATTTATGAAATAAAGAGCAATTATGATCTAAAGGGTGTCAAAATTTACAAAAAGAAGAAAAAAAAAAAAAGCTTAATATTTATTTGTTTACTTTAGTAAACATTTCTTTCAATGTAAGTTGTTTGACCCCTTAGTTTACAATGACGCTTCAGAGGCGTCGCGTGGTTATCGGACCAAACATGAATAAGACGCCTCAGAAGTGTTGCAAGGTTATCGTCCCAAACATGAATAAGACGTCTCAGAAGCGTCGCAAGGTTATCGGACCAAATATGAACAAGATGCCTCAGAGGCGTTGCAAGGTTATCGACCCAAACATGAATAAGACGTCTCAGAAGCGTCGCTAGGTTATCAGCCCAAACACAAAAAAGACGCGTCAGAGTTGTCGGAACTCTACCGGGCAAAACATAAACAAAACATTTCAGAATGATAGGAGTTGATCAACAAGATCAAATGCTAGCATGCTTCCCTCTTATGAGAAAGTGTCTGAAGGGGTATCGGAAAATTTTCTTTTACCTGTTTGACATGGCGTTATTTAACTCTTTTATTATTCATAACAAGATAAATATTGAAAAAAGACAGGGATATGCAGAATATAAGATTAAAATAGCCGAATTATTATTGGAAAATACACCATTATGGAACTACAACCGTAAAGGACAGTTGTCAAATGGAAATTTACCACTAAGATTGCAGGCTCAACAGTGGAATCATTTTCCCAAACATATAGATCCAACGCTGTTGAACCAACATCCAAAACCAAGATGTGTAGTTTGCACAAAGCATAAACAATGCAGAGAGACAACATGGGAATGCAAAAAGTGTAAAATTGCATTACATGTACCAACATGTTTTGAGAGATATCATACTGTCAAAGATTACTAAAGTTTTGTATTAAAACAAAAATGTTATTATTAATGGATTATATAATTTGCAATAATAAATCTTTTTTGTTTAATACCATAATTATTTATCAAACATCTTGCAAAGTTAATTGTACCGTGCACATGTATATAAAAATCGTAGGAAGTTTGCGATTTGTACAGTTTCGAATGCTGAGCAAAGTTGTTTATGTCCCTGCGCACGACCGACTATGGTGTCGCTTTTGGCCCATAGTCGTTTGGAAATTAGATCATAAGGGAAGGGGATAAGTTGCTTCGTTTTATGTGCTAATACTTTCTCTTTAATTCTATAAACAGACATAATTTCTTGTTCAGTTACAAAGTTCCGCTGTTCAAGTCCTGTAATTGCTGTGCCGAGAATACCGACTAACTTGTCAATCAAAACTTTTTCTCTTTCACTAACCTCTCTGTCACTTTCTTCATGCCTTTATCCATTTTTTGCAGCAATTCCACTTTTTGTTTGATGTACATTGAAACATGCTTTCACTTTGTAGATCCTTTGCCAGCTCCAGAATCGGACACTCTTTTTGACATAATTGAAAGTTCAAGCTTACTTTTTATAAAATTGTTCTAACAGTCTGCAAAAAATAATAAGCCGAATCCAATAAGAAGATTAAGGATCAACGCAATCTGCAATATTAACTGAAATAGAGTAATTAGATAATTTTAGCCTAGCTTATACCGTTTGTTATACATTAAATGCGCATGCGCAGAAAGTTTGTAGCTTTGAGGTCCAGATTATAGATCATTCCGGATTATGGACATCCGGATTAAAGACTTTGTATTATATTGTGAAAAAAAATATATGGAAATACGATGTGTAAAGTTGCAAAACGGATCTAAATGTCAGTTATTGCTTTCATGTTTCCAAGATTCTTTTTTGCATGGCTTTGCACTTCACATATTGTTGGGCAGAAGAACTAACTTCTATTAGATGGCTCAACAGATAGTAAAGTATGGTTGAAAATTCATCAGTTTAGAGCAACGATATGAGAAATCTGTTGCTTTTTTTTTTTTTTTTTTTTTTTTTTATCAAATACTCTGAAGCTAGAATTGGTTGATGTAAAAAAATTGTTGAGATTGATAAAAGTATGACAAAAGTCTGTCAAATGATATAGAACAATGCAGTTAGAATTTTGCAGAAACAGTGGGCTGAAAGCATCTGCAGAGGAATAAATTATTGTTTTCTTGTGCAAATGCCACATAAAGAGGTCAAAACTTTAAATGAGAAGATAAAAAAAGGATAAATGTAAAAGAATGTGTGATATATTTGCATAGCTTATCAGAGTGAGAAATTAGAAAGAATGTTTTCAATACAGTGCATAAGCAGTGCATATCATAAATACAACTTTGTAAATCCAACATCTGGTGTACATACAGAGAAATTTGAGTGTTTGTAGATTGTGGTGAAATAGCAGAACAGAACGAGGCAAAGAGTAAGAGCTCACTAACACTTGGATTCCTATTTAGAAGCATATATGTTATAACAATATGTAGACCAAGAGAAAATATTTGATTTTATAACATAAATTGCTGAATTATCACCTCCACAAAAGAAAGTAAATATTATTTCCTTCCCTATGCATGATAATTTTTTGAAGGTTGCCTCAGTGTTTTCAAATTTTTGCCAAATTTTACCAAAGCGGCCAGCTATTTTAACAAGGAGTACCCTCCCCCCCCCAAAAAAAAAAATTACTAAAAGTTATCAATGGATTCACTTTTTATTTATTTATTATTTTTTTTAGTATTGCAATATGTATAAGTTATATCAGAAAAGTATAAGTTGTATATTTTGTGTGTATTTTTCAGGAAAAATCGCCGATCTGCTTCTATGACTTCACGATTTTATGAAGCTGAATCAGAGGATTACAAAGTGAAATCTTTTATAGAAACAACATCATCTTGTGTTAAGCAGAAAAATCTAGATACCAAGATTAAACAATCAAAGCACCTACCATTGTGGGCTTGGTATATTATAGCTAAATGCAATGGTATTCCATTGCAACCTGACTCAAAACCAATTTTGGGAACAATTCTTCATGCTTTAACTTTTACTGGAGCATTATCATATGCTCTATCATATACTTGGTATGTTGTGTATGACATACTTTCACCCAATACACCAAGAGACATTCCAGGTGGCTCTGTCAGTATCCTTCTCGTTTACTTTTGGTGTGGATTTGGATTTTATTGTAAAGATTTAAGTAGTCGTCTATTTTTACATCCAAGATTTCTCAAAGATATAAGAATGCACACAAGAACTGTATTTAAAATTAATGGAGCATTGCTAGTATTTATATTAGGACTTTTTTTTACAATAGCAAATGTTGTTGAAAGCTTAACTTGGTTTGATGATGTGGTCTGTGATAGAATTGATTTAGATCCTATCGTCTGCCAAATGATGAGTGTATCTAGTATTGTATTTTCAGTATTTACGTTGATATGGCATTCTCTTGTATCATTTGTTTTCATGTCTGTATGTAGAACACATACTATTGGTAAGTTTTCTAATCAAATCTTATCATAATACAGTTTTTTTCCATCAGTCCAAAAAATATATTGTTTGAATTGATTTTTGTGTTTAAGAAGTTTTAAGGTATAATATGTAGAAATATATTATGCAAGGTGGTACATAATTCCTTCTGAAATTTAAAAAAAAATCTGGTATAATATCCATAATAAATATAGTAAAAAGGTACACATCAGCATGTAGAGAATCCCTCCATGTCTCCTGTGTAGTCTCAGTTGATCATTAATTTTATATTACATAAGCCAAGGGTTTCCAACCCTATGCCTTTGTGAACAACTTAACCCACTGCTGTGCAACCACAAAAAAAATTTTCAGTAAAATATAGTAATTAATTAGAAAAATATAACGGAGTTTGTTTAAAAAATTTTCGTTTATAATTATATGTTTAGAATTTTAAATGAGCTTACCAGACATCCCAGTTTGATCAGGATTGTCTCAATTTGGTCCTAGCATTGTTTAAAACTTGACATGCTATAGGCTATTTGTTAAAAATTAAAACAAGTCAGATAGCATTGTTTTCAACAATGAATATCATAAAATCGAAATACAGATCTTGACTTGCAGAAGAACATCTTGATGAGTGCTTACAAGCAGAAATATCGTCATACTAATTAAGACACAATAACATGCTGAACAAATACTAATTCAAAAGTCAAACAACAAAAATCAGCCTTATATTTTCAAATTTTCACAGGACCAGTTTCGATGGTTTTACCAAACCACCATCTTCAGCTGCAAAAGCACAAATGAGCGAGATAGGATATAATGATCAGATAAGAAAGCCTGGACAGAAAATAAGCTAGTGGCGCCATCTGTTGATGAAACCAGAACTAAAACATAATTTCTTTAAAGGCCGAAGGCAAAGATGGATTGGAATTAGGATCATTAACTAGAATAGAAAGATTTTTTTGAATGTGAAATGCCTCTAAAAAATCCAGTTCTCTAATGGAAGATGTTTTTTGAATAATTTTGGGAGCAGAAAAATTGAAAATGTGATTTTCGGACCAACAATGTTGGGCAACAGAAGACTTCTGTGTTTTCTTTTTTCTAACGTATGCCTCATGTTCCTTGACGCAAAATTTTAAGGCTCTCTTAGTTTGGCCAATTTAAATTAAACCACACTGGCAAGGAATCATATAAATACCCCAGGAATTCATATCTGGAATGGGGTCCTTGAGTATGGAACTCGGAATTTTATTGTTGGGAGAATAAACGACCCAAAAGTTAAATTTCTGAAAAATATGTGCAACTGTATAGCTAATTGATTGAAAGAAAGGAATGACAACAGAATTTTTATAATCTTATAAAACAAAAGTGTGCCTTTTAGTGTGTTGAGATGAGAATTTTTTAACAATGAAATACAATCCCAAGTGTCACATTGACTTTACAAATTCCATTTTTATAAAGAAATATTGGTACTTAAATATTAATACAACCACCATAGTAAAAGTCACAAATTTTCAGAATGAGCCAAAATCTGGCAACTATGCACATAGCCATTTTTCTGGCAACCGTGCTCTATAACAGTCTTTCATTCAAGCAATGCTGCCATTTTTGTATGCATTTCTTTTTGTTGTATTCCAAGTTCCAATGGTTTTTATAAACAAATCATGATATTTTTATTTTTAAAGTATGAGCTTGTGAAGTTTGCTAGTAATGGAAGAAACTGTGATAAAATTTTTGCAGGAACACAGAATTTTGCTGAAAATTTTCTAAAGGGAACAATTATAAAGTACGTTTTCTAGATAGTTGCTGAGGTTTACACAAAGCCAAACCTATCTAATTCACTAATGTTTTTTTAAGTGAGAGCAGATCGCTCTGTATTTGGAGAAGAAGAAAATGGGGGGAAAAAAATTAAAGGAAGATTTGAAAAAGAATGTGTTTTTTTATGTGAATTTTAATTCTTATGTAATAATTAAAATTTTAATTCTTATGTAATAATTAAAATTTATATTTTTAATCAGCTAAAGTATGCTTTCTTTTCATATGTTGGTAACAATAAATGTCGATACTTTGGGAATCTTTCTAAAAAAAAAAAAAGACATGAAAACCACCAATTTTCACCCAATAAGTAACTTACTTTATCATCTGTAAAAAATCGCCAAATTGCATGAAAGTGGTTGCATTAATACTTAAGTACTGAAATTTTATACTAATGAACTTTAAGCCAAAGAATTTAAAAAATATTTTCTGTATTATTTAGTAATTATTTATTTTGCATATGAATACCAAGAATACCATCATTAATTTTTATATCTTAAAATTATATATTTGATTTTTTTTTTGTTGTATATTATTAACTGTATATTTAGCTTGAAAGAATAAATGTGCATACCACCCAACCAATATTTTAAAATGTGCTCTAAGCTACAAAAAGGTTTGGGGGGTCACTGACATAAGCAGCTTGTCAGCTTGAACTTATCACTTGAATTGGCTTATCTGTAGGTTCTTTTATTTGATATTTTATATTATATCTCTATTATACTAGTAGAACTGACTCATCTTTCGTAAGTTCTAAATTTGTGTTCAGCGGTGAATGCCATGTTTCATTATACTGGCACCTAGCTTGCTACTAGAGTGCTACTTAGCAGCTAAATGTACTGTTATGTTACAGGGTCTGTTACACTACAAACTTGAAAAGATTCTTTATATCTTGCTATACACTTCTTTGCTGTATTTGTTATAGTGATTGCATTATGAACTTTTGCAGGTACTTTCCAATTAATAACAGACACCCTTAATTTTTTTTTATTAATAGTGAGAAGTGACCAAATATAATAATATATAAAACAGTTTTTGTTGCCACAAGTGATATTTTATTTTTTGTATCTTGCATTTTTAGCTGAGCTACCATCCTATTCCCCCCCAAAAAATGGTCATTTGCTGTGACTTAGCAATAAATCTGCTCTTTTCTTTCTTTCTTTCTTTCTTTTTTTTTAAATATTTTTTTAACATTTGTTTTTTCTTGTGGTTCTTTTAAAATTCAGTCTTCATCATTCATGTTTTTGGAAAGTAGATGAGATTTTAGAAGGATCAGCAATGTGTCTGAAATTTAAAATATATGGCAGCTACCAATAAGTGTTGAGAAAAACGCTGTATGTTTTTTCAGGCAGATGGAATTTTACGTGAAGAAAGAAGATGCTAGAATGGCTGTTTGGAAATTCTTAAAAAATATATTCTGACAGTTTGATATAAAGCATTATAGGCAGAATACTGCTGTGTACAAAGGCACTTGCTGTAAGAAGCATATGTTACATTTCTTAAAACTTCAATACGAAATCCGAAATGGGATCTGGAGTCAGCGGTTTTGAATTTTAGATCATCTATTTAAATTCCATAAGATGTATAGAAATTATCAAGTTAAATGTATAATATTTTGTTAAGAAAGAAGTATTTGTATAGAAAGAGATGTTTCTGAATTTCCATCATAAAATATGACTTGAATATAGCTGAAACGGCGATATTTTCGAGATTTAAAACTATACTATTGATATTCACTGTTCCATTAATTGATTGATGATTGAGGCATTGGTATTGAAGTGTAAGACTTCAGCCATATCATCGTCATTTAACATTTCTTCTTATAATGTATTAATCAAATTGTTTTAGCATTTCTTCTGACAGTTTATTAATCAAAATGTTTCGCTTGTTCTCATGATGTCTGAAAACCTTCAAATTCATAACTCGTCATCATCACAAAATTTGGTAATTGTAAATTATATCAAGTATTTTAAAAAATATCTGCAGACATGTTGTCTCATGATCCTGCAATGCCTCACATTTATATTTAAATTTTTATATTAAATATTTGTAGAGTTCTTAAATGATCTCTTATTTGAGCATTGGTTTATAAAAAGTTGCTTTGTATCTCCATTTCACTGTATGATTCCCTAGTTTGCAGATCTTTGAAAGTAACTAACATACAGGAATCTCAATTAGTCTGGAGAAAAATTGCTTTTATGGCACATGTGAAAGGCTTTTTGATTTGTAGACTGGGCCAAAAAATTTTCGCCAGTGGTCCAAAGCTCAAAATATTGGACATCCAGATTTTAAATTTTGTACTGTGTCTGTTTTTTTTAATGCTGGTATTTGAACTTGGCAACTCTATGTTAGTGCAAAGTATAATATTACTGTAACTGATAGAAACAATTATGTAAGAGAATTTTGAACTAATTTTTCTAAAGAAATGAAAACAGGAAGGACTGGTGAAGAAAACTACATTGTAAAGTAGATGAGAATTTGTTTTTTAAAAGAAAAAGTCATTCCAGAGCAGGGGATTCTAGAAGTAATATGTAGAGATAGTGAAAGGTTATTTCTTGTCCTGTTCAAAACAGGAAGACAACTTCTTTAATGGTGACCATTAAAGAACATGTTGCTAAAGGCAGTATTATTTGTACTGACTGCTGGAAAGGAGTTAAACTCAAATATTATTTAGAAGTAGCTGGATTCAAACATTACAATATCAACCCTGAATATAATTTTATAGATCCATTTTCTGGGACACGAACACGGAATATAAATTTTGCCAAATGATTTACTAACTCAACAGTAACATTGCAGAGCATCATGGAAAAGCCTGAATTAATACTAATGAATGTGTATAGCATGCTTATTGGCTTAAAAATGATTTTTTATAAATGAATTAACATATCATTCATATGTATCTCATTTGATTCAATAACATGACATCCCATATCATTTGGCAAATATATCACTTTTAAATATTTTGTTTATACTATGTTTGAAGCAGAAATAGTGGGGTAAATCATGAAACCTGGCCAAAAAGTAAACTAAAATTGAAATGTAAATATTGCTTATGCGTAATTTCATGAGTTAATTAAATTGGAAATATAAATATTGTACATCTGGAATACAATTTTTTGTATTATATAATCTTATTTTTTTAATACCTTAATACTGCTTTTTCAGTTTCTTGACATTTGTATTTTTTAGAAGCACATAATTTTATCAACCTTCACACATGAAAGGAATTATTATAATTTAAATTTTTGAGCAAACTTGATTCATGATTGTGTTTATAAGTCAACATGTTTTTGTAATTTTTACAAAATTTGGCCTTCAAGGTGCACATGTATTCAAAGTTTTTAATTTTATATATTTAGTGAAGGAAATGTAATCACTCATTCTTAATAATCTCTTATTTTTTATAGTTTCAAAGAATTAATGAATTTAAATGTATATATCTGTATTCCTTATGTATGCTTTCAAACACTGAATTGTTATTTTTGTTAATGATTAGTAATGTAATAGGTTTACATTTTTAAAATTTTAATTTATGTATTATTTTTAATCATTGAAGAAAAGAGGAGCTTAAAATGTGATAAATATTGAAATGAGAAAAGATTGCTTTTATTCATTAGCTGCAATCACTCCAAACTTAAACACAAATTAAATATTCTGTTTGTTATTCAAAATGTTTGTATCAATGTGTTTTGTTACAGTAGACTCAAATTTTTATTAACTGTTGCATAAGTCCCAAAATTTATCACATTTCACTACTGCTAATTTCAGCTTTGATTTAGACATTGAATTTACATGTTCTGTGTTTTTCACGTATTCTCGAATCATTTTCGCTGTTTCCAAAATTTCCTGGAGCTGGTTGAATGATAAAATTTTTCATACCTTCGGTTGAGAAATTTTGAGCTGATAAAGAGGCTTTGTTAACACAGTTTGTAGGCATCAAGAGAGTTGTGATTGTTGTGAGTTTATTTTCTCAAAAATGACTTCCATTAACAGGTTATCCTGTAGTGAATGTATTGGTACCTATGCAGTACTGTAATATAAACTTCAAGAATTTTACTTTATGCCTAAAAGTGTCTTTGAGTGTATCTAGTTCATCTGTCCTTTTTTTTAGGGGGGGGGGCAGATTTTGATTTCCTATGTCAAATAAAAAGAAGAGGCTATATTTTTCTCTGAAAGATGAGGGGAGGAAATTACTACATGTGTATATCTTTATGAAGATTCAAATTGTACAAGTTTACCTCTGAAATTTTTGTGGAATTTTATTGAAGTGCAGTTAAGAAGCAAACATATATTAATGAGGTTTTAGGCACTTTTAACAAATACAAATATAAGCAGTTTTCTCTCAAAATAATATTCTTTTACTTCTAATATGGTAATTACTGAAAAATAACTAAACAGTTTTTTCTATGTAATAGATCAGAGGATTTACATTGGGACTACTTCTGCCTTGTCTACTGAAGTGAACTTGTAACCTTGCAAGTGGTCTTTCAAATGGAGAAAAGAGGGAAAGCACTGTGTTTTTGAATTTGGAGAATATATTAGATGTCAGAACAATGAAATAGTGATATTTTTTTAGTCTGAAAAAATAAGTCAATAGTACAAGTTAATATAAAGTCTGTAACAGGAGCAGATTAATGAATGGAATACAGTCTATAAACAGAGGCCAATCATTATTTTTTCACAGATTAGGATATGTTTACTAAATTTTTAAAGTTATGAATGGGGATATTGTTCATTGTCAAATGTCTCTCAGGAATAAGCACCATTTACACATATAATTTTTCAGTTTCCTTGGCAGCACTTTTACTGTCTCTGGAGTATACTGAAATTCAAAGTGATGAGTTGCCATTTCATGTGTGGATAGTAGGGACAACAGCGTATCTCATGAACTATAAATTAACATCACAGAAGCATTCACCAACCTAATAAATTAGATTGCCTCAAATAATCATGAGAGTTTTCCCATAAATCATTGTACTGCAAGAAGGATGTGCTGTGCTGTGTTATAGTGAACTTGTACAAATTATCTATGAGAGTTGTGTGAAAATTGCTACAGTAGACTCCCATAGGAGCAACAATATTGTCTATAATTTGTCGGTAATTTTCATATACAAGACATAAAATCTTAAATTTTTTTAATTTTCTCTATTCTGGGCTGATTATATGAATCATCTTTCAGATTATTCATACCTTCTTCAAAACATTTAATTAGAATGGGGCAAGAGTGAGGCAAATGAGGGATGCTTAAGAGGAGTGCCAAATTATTTATAAAATTTTAGAACACTTAAAAATCAAATTATAATAGTTAACATTCACTTTTGAAATACATTGAGAAACACCGTTTTAAGATAAATTTAAATCAGTAAAAATGGTGCTATGTTCTTGAACACTCGCACAACTTCTGCCCTTTTCTTTAATCGGTTAACCAAATGAAATAAAAAAAATTTATTATTAAAGATTTAATATTTAAAATGAAACAAAAATGGCATTATCACATATTTTATATAATTTCATTACTTTATATGAAGTTCAAACTTATCTAAGACATTGAATGGTAAGTCATCATAATGGATTGATTCTAGTAACCTCTTTAAGCAAACCAGTTTAATGTTTTATGCATGCTTCATCAAATTTAATACTGGGGGGGGGAAGAAATGTAAGGTAAATTAAGATTTGCTGTTAAAAACTTTACATAAAGCTGCATGCTTAATATAAGGATTGATCTAATATCAAATGTTGGTGAATGGTTTGGCTGCATGGGTGTTTTCATATTTTCCTCATATGAAATGTAGATACAAATATGCTTGGCTTAGAAAGTCTGCCAAGAAAGTACCCTCTCGTTAAGCAAATAGCCTTTGTGTATTTGTCTTATTGAATTAAAAATCATAATAGAAGGGTTATCTCTTTTTTTATGAAAATGAGAAAAAATATTCTGAAGAAATGCAAGAATTTACTTTAAATGCTAGTTAAAAAGGAACTTATAAACCAGACAGAAAATACTTTTCGTAGTAGAAATGATATGTATTTTAATCTCACAACTGAAATGAAGTTATCAAAAATTATATAAGATAGTTTACAGTTTCTAGAACTGGTGAAAAATAAATCTCTTTGGATTTAGCTATTTTAAAGGTTAGATTAGGTTGAACTTTGCAGAGCACACAAGGACTAACTGCATAAACTTGAAAAATGTTCATCTTAATTAAATATCCATATGTTATAAATACTACAGATATCATCAGAAATATCTATTTTTAAGAGCAGATTTTAAGATTCATCAGAAATCTCTAATTTTAAAAAACTATGCTATTTCAAAAAGTCCAATCGTTAAACCAAAGCCAAATCTTTTGTAGATAAATCAGGAACACAGTTTAGTTTAATCATATCTGAATTCAAGAAATGTTTTCAAAATATTTTTAATTATCTAGTTACAATGGTTAGGGTTAAAGCAGCTTCAGAAAATGATAATAAAAATAAATGCAAAATTTTCTTTTGGCCTAAAAAACTTTGCAATATCACTAATTTCTCTACAGAATATAAATTAAGTAATCAAATAGGTTTTGAAAAATATTGTCGATATTACTTCATTAAAAGCGGGAAAAATCAAGTCACAAAAACCTTGAATAATAGCACAGTACTTCTTGCATTATTTTAATATTATTGGCTATTTATCAAAAAGTTATAGTGTATGTTTTTATTTATAAATTATTACACACATTAATTTGTTGAATTTATAGGGTTATGATGACAAGTATAAAAAATTATGGTATAATTGAAAGTAGCTAATTTTGTTATAAATTAACTGTGTCTATATATAGACACAGTTAATTAATATATAAGGGCATGTATTTACCTCTTTGCCTCAAGTGGATACATACATAGGCATGATTCTGCCTTTTATACCACTTAATTGACATAGTCCATTGCAGATCTACTACAACTCATTTGCCTATAACTACCAATATAATTTTGGAGTTTTCATTACTGATTTGCATAAGTGCTGATAGAATTTGTTGTTTACATGTTGTTTTGCTATTTTTCTTCACAACTACAGAATGATTGTTTCCACAACTAGATATTGAATAATACTATTGGTGTATACATAGTAGCATTTTTATGTCTCATGTGACCAGTAATATGCCTTAAAATAAAGTTGCTATTATAGCTAGTTCATTAATTTCTTCATTGTATTATGTATGCATTTTTATGCATTGTGTTAATTAGTGATTAGAGTAATTCAACCTTGTGTATTTTTGTAATTTTTGGTACTATTCTATTATCAGGACCAGGTTCAGAAATTTATGTGTGTATAAATGTATTTATGGATGTATGTGTTCATGTATGCATGTATATATGTAAGTACAAATGGACCAGTCCTAATGACAGAACAGTACCTAATTTTTATATGTGTGTTTTAGGATTAAGACGTTTTATAAAAGAAATTGAATATGATGCTTCTATCATTGAACGCCATCTTTCATTTACTCATAAAATTTTACCAATGAATCAAGATGACATATGGCAAGGTATTTAAATTTTTGATTTCTGCATTTGATAATGAAAACAGCTTTGCTTTATTATAATGTTTTATTTCATATTATATGTGTATAATTTCATTTCACTTTATTTTAGAATCAATGTGGATTGCTGAAGATGAAAATGATGAAGAATATGTAAATTATAAACCAAATATTAAGCATAAGATGTCAGTATCAAAAAAGGATATTAATCCTCGTATGCGTTCATCTGAGCCCAATTTGAGGAATATTGAGCAATCAGGTGAAATCAGTGTCCTTTTTGCACCAATAGCTGAGAATCTGGATCCATCTGATGATCATTCTTCTATATCAGAATTTGAGTGGAATTATTTTCGTGATGTATGTATCTTATAAAGCAGATTTTTTAAAAATATATTTTAATAATATTTTAATCTTAAATTAAATGTAAAGAAATTTAATTTGAAATTCAAAAATTATTTTACTTTGAAATGTAAGAACTTTCTTTCCAACTATTGTGGTATTTTACAAAACTAAACAGGCATTTTTAAAACAAGCATTTGAAATATTATTAATGAGATGCAATATGATGTATGCATGCTACAAAATCAGCCAATTAGATATATATAATTAGTAGTATTTTTTAATGTAATATTAAAAAAATTTCTGTGTCATGAACTCATTTTTTTTTTATTTGTTGAACTCATTATTATTAATTTTTTGATTTGTTGAATGTGAAATTTCAGAAATGCTGAGGAAAATTTACTGTTTTATTTATATGTAGCAGTTATCAGTATCTTTACATTTGGTCTGTGTCATCAGACTGAAAATGCTACATAAAAATAAGAAACTGATGAGATACTGATATGCAAAAAATATTTCTTTATTTATTTATTTGTTAGTGTGCATTTGTTTGACTGTAAGAAAGAATCTAAAATTGTGCATAAAAACAGGCTTGTAAAATGACTTGCAGTTGGGAAAATGACTTGCAAAAAGTGTAGCATAAAGCAGCTACTCTTCTTTCACACTATGAAATCCCATTATTGCATATTCTTCTCCAATATAATCTTTGTTAACCCATGATGTGTTTATTTCTTCGGACTGATTCTTTGTTTACATTTATTCACACATGCTATAAAGATACTACTTTTATTAATAATGCAATGTGCAATAAAGCAATTAACAGGAGAATAGTCTGATGTTAAATACTAGAAGGTCAAATAAAAATGGAACTAGCAATAGGATTTGTTGTGCAAAAATGGGATGTTCTAAAGAAAATTGTTTTTAATAATGTATTTTAGTTTTGATGAAACATGGGTTGCATTCTGCCTAGTAATGTTATTTCTCTTTTGCATAATATGTACAAAATATAATAAATTATAATAGTAAAGGATAAAATAGGGGTAAAAGATTCAAAGGTTGAAAGAAATGTAACTAGTTATCAGGACCAAGGTCCCTAACATTCTCTTAGCATGTGATAAGCTTAACCACATTATTGGAACTTGCCACAAATTTTCCATGTATAGAATATCTACAAAATTACTGAACTTTTTCAAAGTTGCAATCTATTGCCATAAAAAGCAAGAAAGCATTTTTTATACTAACTTATCTACACCTATTGTTAGACTTGATTTTACATATTTGGATACATTATAAATAATAAAACTCAAACTGTTACTAGGAAAGAGTTATTCATTTGCTGTACACTTAAAAAATTCTGTTATGCTTAATGTAATGGTATTTTCTGCTCTGAACGCTGATATCGTTTTAAGATTTAGATTGAATAATGATAATTTTTCTTTTATTTGTTTACCAATAACATTTGCTGTTGTTCTCGTAAAAGATAATTTAGTATTCCATACTCAGTGTTAAAATATTTTAAAAGAACTGTAAAATACCTCATGCTGCTCTTGGTGGATGCATCAACAGAGTATAGGAAAAAAAAAATAAATAAATAATAAGTTGCAGAAAAATATACAGAGTTATCTTATTAATATATTGTGTGTTCTCCTTAACTGAAAGGAGTGCAAGAACATTAACCCACAAAACCTTATTCTTTGTTTATCCACATCTGACCATATTTGCAATTTCAGAATCTGAATACGTGATTTTATCTGCTTGCTAGTTATTGCAACTATTGTGGTATTTTACAAAACTAAACAGACATTTTTAAAACGAGCATTTTGAAGTATTGTTAATGAGATGCAATATGGTGTATGTGTGTTACAAAATTAGTCAATTAGATATATATAATTAGTAATATTTTTAATGTAATATTAAAAAAAGTTCAGTGTCATGAACTCATTTTTAAGTATGGATTAATATTAATATCATGGATAGCATGGATAGTTAAAAAAGTATTTCTTAAAAAATACATAACTTAAAAAGGTATTTCTAAAAATAGAGAGAAACCAAATAGCAGAGCAAAAATACGATGCTTTTTATTGGAATTACAAACAAAGCTTTTTTTTTTTAACGACAGTATCGCGAAGCACGATCTCCTGATGACGACAACACTCACTATTGCCAGAACTTATCCAAACTATATATTATATTATTATTTTTATTAACATACTTTAATACTTTCCCCTTGTAAAAAAAATAATAATAATAAATTAAAAGAAAAGTCACAAAGTCCCATCTTATCACGATTAACAGTCTCGATTTAAATAAAGGTTTAGTCATTATGTCAGCAACTTGCGCCTCTGTAGGTACCTGCTGCATAATGATTTCCTTTTCTAGAACTTTCTCTCGTATGAAAAGTGCTTGATATCAATGTATTTTTGTGCGTCGATGAAACTCCGGTTTAGGGACAGTCTCACTGCAGCAGCGTTGTCTACTTGATTACTGGAGTTTCACGTACTTGGTTACATCACTAAATAGTCGTTTTAAAACCAAATTACTTTTCTAGAACATTCACTGCTGCAATTACTTCTGCTTCAGTCGTCGAAGCAACAACTTATTGCCTTTGGCTAATCCATGATATACTCCACCACTATAATAATATCACTACTCCACTCATTGATTTTCCTGTTTCCTTGACAGCCTCCAAAATCTGCATCACTATAGCATTCTAGAATTCCTGGTTTGTATTATCTTGTATGTAACCCTTTAGTTAGAGAACCTGCTATGTATCTGAATCACGTTTCACCTTTTCCAATCATCTTTCGAAGGATTTTCTAGGTAACTTGATAGAAGGCCAACACAGTAAGCTAAATATGGTCTTGTGCCTAACATAAGATACATTAAAGCTCCTACAGCTTCTCTATAAGGGAAAATTTTTTTTTTTTATTTATCTTCCTTTTTCTTTTCAGTTAGGCCTTCCTGCAGGATAGGAGTTGACACTGGTTTGCAATCTTCCATCCCAAATTTTTGAAGAATTTTTCTTGCATAAGCTTGCTGACTAATTTTAATACTTCCATCTTCAAGATGTTTAATTTCAAGTCCAAGAAAGTATATTGCTGGTTTAGTTGTGATTCTGAATCTCGACTTCAATCCTCTGAGAAATTTTTCAGATTCTTGTTGATCTGTTGATGCTACTAAACCATCATCTACATAAAACATCGATTAGCTTCTTGCCGTTATTGTTTCTTATATATAAGCATGGATCAGCTTCACTTGTCTTGGAAGCCCCGCTGTGACACAAAATCTCCAAAATATTTATTCCAGCAGCGTGATGATTTTTTAAGTCCATACAAACTGTGTTTCAACTTACAGACTTTTCGAACCGTCACTATATCCTTCTGGTTGCTGCATTGTATATAAATTTTCAAGTTTTCCCACATAAGAATGCTGAACCGACATCAAACTGAGAAAGATGCATTTTCTCATTGGCTGTGATGCTCAAACTGAACGAATAGTTCCTAACTTTATTACTGGACTAAACGTTTGATCATAATCAACTCCAAACGTTGAGTACCATCCTTTGGCAACAAGTCTAGCCTGAATTATCAATAGATCCATCAGGATTCTTTTGATCTTATAAACCCACTTGCATGGTATAGCTTTAGCATCTTTTGGTAATTTTTCTAAACTCCATGTTTCATTCTCTAGCCAATGATTTTCATCTCGATCCATAGCTTCTTTCCAATTAACACTTTGCTTACAGTTGATTGCTCTTCATAAATTCGGGCTCTTCAGAATCAACAATAAAAGCTTCACTTATCTTATATAATCTTCAAAACGCTTTGGCTTTCTAAGTCAGCTCTATCTCTTAGGTATCTGACTGTGCATTATTTTGCAAATTAATATCTCACATTCTTGTCTTTCAAATGTTCTTCTGATAATTTCCAGATTTCTTTGTGTATTCTTTTTCTGAATTATCTCTTCACAAAGAAACTTTTCTGACTTATCTTTTTCTGAATTTGTTGATGTTCAGAGCCAGAAATTAGGCTATCTTGATCTTGAATAGGTAACTGCACCCTTTCTCCACAATTTGTGAGCTTTTCATAAATAAATATCACGTGAACAGATCACACTTTTTTTTTTCTTTGATCCATATCGGTATCTTCGTCTCCATCATAACCAATTAAATAAGCTTTTATATCCTTAATTATCCATTTTCTTTCTTCTTTGTTAGGAATATGGGCATAGCACACAGATCCTACTATTGAAGATGCTAATTCGAGGTTTCTTTTTACCATAGCTCATAAGACTCATGCCTTATACTGAGATTTGCCAGTTTCTGTTTAGTACATATATGGCAGTGTTGACTAGTTCAGCCCACATTGCTGCAGGCAGAAAATGAGCTTCAGAATTTGGTACTTAAATGTTCTTGCCATTTCGATTATTGTAACGTATGTCTTTTCACTAGAGCCATTTTGTTCAGAAGAATAAGGTGCTGTTAGTCTTGAGTTATACCTTCAGATACAATAGCACGCACTTTGTCATTGTCAAACTCGCCTCCATTATTGCTGAGAAATTCTTTGACTGAATGTCCTAAGATTTCGCGTGTGCAGCATGTGTTGTAACTATTTACAACAGCAGATTTTCCTTGATAAATACCCATAACGAAACTTTGTGTAGCTACTTTAAACGCAACTAATATCTTTTCTTCTGGAAAGATTCATCAAAAGGTCCACAGACATCAGCTGAAATTAATTCACCAGGCTTGCTGGCTGGCTTTCTTATGCCAAATGGTAACGGTGTGCTTTGCAAAAAATGGTGTGAACGGTGTGCTTTGCAAAAAATGCATGGTTCACCCAATTTTCTTTCAAATGGGATCTTGGGATCTTTCTCAAGCATGTTCTTAATGTGACGTTAGTCTGAATTTATTTCATTTAAACCAATCACTTACTCAATTAGTATAATAGCATTTATAAATTGTTCCTCCCTTTTTTTAATATGAATTACATTCAGGAATTTTTATTTTTTTGGGGGCCAAAATAGCATCCTGCCTCTTTTTTTTTTTTTTTTTTTTTTTTTTCTTTCTTTTTGGTTAAAAATCGTGTGAGTATTTATTTTGCTAAAAATAATATGAGTATTTATAATATGGAACAATTACAGTACTTAATAATATAAACTACATAAAAACTGCATAAACAAATTAATTTATTTCATCTAGGATAGTGCATTTATTCCAGTCCGGAGATTACTTCAAGGAAATAAAGATGGTCTTGATGATTCAGCAGCTACTCCTCATACCATGACTAATGCAGAACTAATGCATCATTTTTGGAAACTTAATGTAAGTCATTTATGAAAATAAATAATGTAGTTGCTAAAAGTCTACTAATTTAATCACTCTTTCTTCAAAGCATGAAAACAAATGCTAGTGCATTTGAAAATCCAATATGAAAAATGCAGGCATTCTATTTCAGTGAACAAATTTGAAAATATTCATGTTATAATCTTATTTAAAAAATTTTAAAAGTCTGAATTTAATCATGTGTCTCAAAAATTTAGTATATTTTCTATAATGCTTCAAATGTTATTCCAGAAAACCATTCAGTGTGATGCTATAACTTCAAATTGTAATTAAGCTTAGTTATGTAGCTTTGCATGATTTGTTTTAATTAAATATTCCAATCTAATTTACTATGAATTAATTAGAGTCTTCCCTTTTAGTAGTTATTTATAGCATAATGTAGACTTGTGTTATGCATAGAAAGCTTCTAAAAGTCTATTCCTAACTGCATAGCAAATTTATTTGTCATAAGACAAAGTAATTGAGTAGGCATAAAAGCATGTAATCTAGATTGTATACTATTTTAAAAAGTTTTGAATATGTACCTAGAAATGGTGTATTAAAAATATTGTAGAAATTACCACAGTCAATAATATATTTAATTAGTGTAGTTATATTAGAATTAATCGAATTCTTTTTGTTATTAAATCCTAGGTCAATTGAGTGGTTGCGTTTGCCAAACACTGATAGTTAACTCATTTTTTGTTGCCAGTGACTAAATAGAATAGTTGCATCCATGTTTAGGGATTTTTCTCATATGTTATCCAAATATCTGATAGTTTTGCTTAGAAAGCCTCAGATAATTTCATATGCTTTGCTTTAATGAAATAATCAAATTCCTTAAATTTTCTTCCAGGAAAATATTATTCCTCATCAGAAGATGGCTCTAGTATGCCAAACTAAAATTAAATAATAATTTTCAAAATTTATGAAAAATCTATTAAAAATCTGTTTAGTCCCAGATTATTATCAGAATAAACATTTATTAAAATAAATTCAGTCTCAGAAGCATGAGTCTAAAATTTCCCTTTCTCCTACATTTCATATAATTTTATGCATTCATTCTCCCTGTGAATACTGTGAGCCTCTTTTGATTAATATGGAAACATACTTTTTTGGGGGGGGGGTACTGGGTGTGAAAAATGCTACATTTCTTTTATTGATTATTTAATAATTATTTGGAATTAATTACACATAAATATTCTCTGAATATTAGTGCAGGTTAAGATTTTCGTCATGTGCTCTTCAGAGGTGGTATGCCAGTTTTGTATCTCTTGTACTTCTTCGATGTTCAACATACCTCGTCCATTGGTTGGGACATCCTGCCATAGTTTTTGATATTCTTCAATTTTCACTTCCTCTAGTATTGCTTGTTGTTTTATCTACAGCAATAGCTGAAGTAAATTTTGAAGGCCAAAGAGTGTTACGGGTGAGTATTGTATTAGTTTAATATTTTTAAAATTGTTAACACAGATATCCAATGATTATAGTTTATATGAGCTATTCTGTTACATTAAAATTAGAGTATTCAAATTAAGAATAACTTCCAGTGGTCTTAATTTATATATATATAAATGAATTATGTAATAAATTATTTTTATTTATGTATCAGTTATTATGCTCATATTTTTCATAATTAGTCAATGATTTATAATATAAATTTGAAATTTCGAAAGCAGTTCATCAACAATTTATTTATTTCATATAGAGTCTTTTAAAGTAATTACTTTTACTTTAAAATAGATAGAATTTATTTTTAATGTGATGTTGATTTTAAAAGATTTAATGTATTTCAAGGTATAATAATATCTTGAGGGATTTTTGTATTAAGTGATGAGTTTTAAATATGAATATCTGCCTGACTATTGAATATTTTGAAATAAATTGCTTAAAAAATAATATTCTCTTTCTGTTTTTATGATGTCATTGTTTTTATAAGCTTTCATTTAGTTCATTCATAGTGTTTCACTGTGAGTGAAATTTTGTCATCGATTTTTAACCTACTTCCTGATAAATTACCGAGTTCAAATTTTGTAAACAAAGGTTTTGACGAATTTTTGAAAATCGCTCAATCTTTTTTTTAGACCGTTTGACATTAATGATTTTGTAATTTGCACATCTAAAGATGTATCCGGTGTATAGTTTTGAAATTTTCACATATAATGAAACAAATCTTTCTGCCCTCTTTTAAAACAAGAATGATAAGAAATATTAATTAAGCAGTTTTTTCTCCTTAAGAAAAAAAAAAAAAAGAAAAGAAAAGAAAAAAAGAAAGAAAGAAACTATGCAAGCAGTCTGAAGCAGAGAGGAAAAGCATTCGAGTATTTCATGATATTGGTAAATTATTCCTTTTAGTTCAAGTAAATTCTTGTAAATCGTTATACAATCAAATTCCAAAACTAAATATTTAAGTGATTTTTTCATTTTGTAAATTATGTTCAGTTCTTATTTCATAATTTACTTATAATTTATTTCTTGTGTTTTAATAATAACTAAAAATTTCATTATTGATAACATATAATTGAGACAAAAAACAGAAAATAAAATATAATTTTTTTTATGTAATAAGCTTTTATTTAAAGTGAATTTGATAATTAATGCACTAAAAGAAGAAAAACAATTTTATATCATGGGTAATAAAAGCATGGGTTGTCTAAAAAATGAAATCTGTTTATTAAATTGCATTGTCAAATATGCGAGTCATTATCTTTTTTAATTTATCATAGATGCCCCTTGCTTTTTTATTCACTATATAAAACTGTAGATGAATACTGCAAATAGAATTACTTAATCTATTATTCCTATTAAGTCGTCACATGGGAAAGTGGCTAGTGACTCTGACTGCCTTACCGAAGGGCTTGGATTCAAATCTCGGAGAAAGCAGGGATTTAAATTGTCATTCCCTTCATAAGAGGTAGGGGTTTATCAACTGCATCCATGATTAATGCATTGAAATTAGTAGTAATAAAATAAGCACCACTTCTGGCCTTATTAAAGTCCAAAGCCTAAAATGGCTAGTGCCTGCCATATATATATATATATATATATATATATAAATCCTAATAAACTATATGATAAATTATTTTTTCTCTCTTTAATGCATTAATTATATCCATTTTAAATAAAAGCTTATTGTATAAAACCTTTTTTTGAATGTATTTTATATTGTAACTAGACTGAAGGATTTAAAAATATCTTACAATATATGAATTATTTTGAGTTTCCATTTAGCTTACTCAATATTGTAATTCTTTCCCTTTTCCTGGCATTTATATAACATGTAGTTAGTTTGTTCATGATATTGGTATTTACAAAAGAATATTTGTTTTCCTCTTTTAATGCGAAATTTTGTCCCCATTTTGTTAAATAAAACTAGCTTTTTCCTTCTATTATCTTTCACTTTGGTTCACTTAATGTTCTTCATTGTCTGCTATTTATCAGGAACTCAATAATTCTTAAGAGCTATTATTATTATTTTATCACATTACTAACTTAGAAAAATAATAATATTGTAGGCAATTTTTTTTCCCATTAAAGCAGTCATAATATTTTCCCCATCATTCTCTTCAGTTTGCAAAGTGCTTAGATTTTATATAAGCTCAGATGATTTATTTTCTGTTCTATTAATAAAACATTAGTGCTGTCATAAGGATTCGTTACCAAATCTGAATTCTTTGGGAATTCATAACATCAGTGGCAATTTATTCTACATGTGTGAGGGTAAGAAACCTTTTGGAATTTCATGATGCAAACATTATTTTATTGATCTTCGAGTCAGCTTGTCAGTTAATTGCACAGCTAAAATGATACTGAAAGCTTTTTCAATTGATTTGTTAAGTTTTCTGAAATGTTTTCATGTTTTTTGGAGTTTTGGAATCTGCCATTTTTAGGTAATAATTTTATTTTTTCTAATTTCCAAAGTTTATTTTTTGGACCATCTTTAGTTTTTTTTTTAAATAAAAAACAGTTTATGCGGATCCTTTTTCAGTTAGAGTAGTTATACTTAAGCTCACAAAAGGAAGGGGGGGAAAAATTTTTTTTCTGCATTAGAAAATAATATTTTTAAGTTATGTTTTCAGCATTTTGTATCAGAACCAAGTCTTTTTACTCAGAATGACGAACTAAGTGAAACTTTTGTATTTTTTTTTTAATTCAAGTTTTTGTTATCAGTTACATCTGTGCAGGTTTTAGATTTATTAATATTTGTTTATTGATTTAAAGTTCTATCTTATGTAAATGGTTTGATGGCTTAAAAGTACAATTTTAAGAAATGAAATTTTAAAAAATTATAAACATGTAATTTATTGATTTTTGAATGATAATTAATTTGAATTTAACTACTTTTTTAATCAAAATTAAGTTTTAGATTTATGTATACGTTTTTAGAATGATGAAATACATAGTAAATATTTTTGAATGATAAACTATATTAAGAAAGCTATTTGCAATTACAGAAATGATTCTGAAAAAATTAATTTTCAAAAGTACATATGATTAAAGATGGAATTGTATTTTATATTATACGAATGTGAAAAGATAACATTAAAGAAACACAAAACTGTGCATTTTTATAAAAGTATGAAAATGTTTTTGCCAACTTACAAGAAAACTATTTTTAACTATTTTACTTATTTAGGAGCACTTGAAGTGGATTAAACTGAAACTGAATTAATGAGTATTTTAACCTATTTATAAAATTAAAAGTACTAACATAGCATTTTTTAAAAAGAAATTTTGATAATTTTTATAACCTTAATATATTTTAATTATATTAAAAATATGTTGTATAACATTACTTTTAATTATTATAATTGTAAATATTTAAGATCATTTTTTTTATATTAAAATAGTTTAGTTATTATTTTGAATACTTAAAAACAAAGATTATTGTTTTTACTATATGAAGAAAGCAACATTATGGCCTGTCAAAACATAGTACTTTCAAATTACATGCCATAGTATCTCTCTCTATATATATGAGTTAATATCTCTCTGTGTTTTTTAGTTGATCATCAACTAATTTGTAACAGTTGTCTACACATATGCCATATTAACAACGAACACAAATTTTGTCACCAATGTATTCCATCTTAGATTTCAGTTTTAGTATATATGTTATCGTGAAAGACCGAAATTGGAGAATGTCGACTTTCACCGGAGAATGTCAACATTCACCAAATGCGTTGGTGAAAGATCGAATATTTCACTACATTCTTGTATATTCGGACCCTCACCGTTGTCGACATCACGGATGCTCTGGTGAAAGTCGAAAAGAGAGGTCATAAAGTGCCATAATAGTTTAAGTTGTTGCAATAAATAAGATTTGAAACACATAATTTAGTAAGTTTTTTATTACTGTTATTTTATTTTCTCATTGAGAACGTACAGTATATTAAGTAAGTTTTTGGCTGATCTTAAATTGTAACTGGTAGTTTGGCGACATTTTGGAGGCGATAAAGGTTACTACCTGGATTTGGTAATAATGTGAGCAGTACTCAGTTCTGATTACGCATTATTTTGTGGAGGGAAGAGATCTGTGATATGTCATGTGATATTAAGTGGACGAATGACGGTTCTTTATGGAAAAGGGGCGAAATCGGGAAAATCTGGAATTTTGTATTTGCCTTTTCTGTGTTGTTTGAAAACAGTGTTCAGAATTTTTGGACCCATGGCCCTACTAAAGTTAATTCGAAATGGCTCGCAATGAACTGGAATTTGATCTGTCAGCACTATCCTCAGGGCAGATGTTTTTATTTTATTCAGCTTATAATTCCTTACTAAATGTAGTATTTCATCCAAGTACTCGTCTTTGATATGATTAATCAAATTCCTTCATTAAATATCATGAATACACATCAAATAGTTTTCTCGTTGCATTTTCTAATTTGGACTGCGTATGTATGCTTTACGCATGCTCACATTGAAAGAAATGTTTAATTAAGTAAACAAATAAATAATGCTTTTTTTTTTGAAATTTTGATACCCTTTAGATCATAATTGCTCTTTATTTCATAAATTCCAGTTTCATATTTTTAATTTTATAATTTCTGCCATCTTACCAGATTTAAATTGATGACCTAGAATCCGGAAAAACCGATAATCCGGAATCGCCGAAGTCCCGAAGAGTCTGGATTAAAGACTTTTGACTGTATGGGCGATTGTCCCCATACTGAGGAAACCACTGGTTGATTTGGGTTGTGTGCCTTCTGTGAATTTCAGACTGCCTCCCCAGCAAGTTGGGATTTGTGGGCGCCTCAAAGAGATCCTCTTTAAAATTACATTTTCTGTAGCAGGTTTCTATAGAATATTACATAATTTTATACCACTAATCATTTCATTTCAAAAACAAAAATTAGAAAATAATAAAGCTATCTGAGTTTGGTTTAAAATGAAATCGTACTACGGCATGAAAAAGCTGTCGAATAGATTATTTAGTACAGATACTGTTCTACTTTTGATTTGACTGTTCTAAAATGATTTACTGAAAATCTGTCCAAAGGGATCTGTTTAGTTATTAATTTTATGGGGGGAGTGTAAAATAGCAACATAGAGGGGAGTGCGTAGAGAACTATTGTTTCAGTGAGAAATTACACCTACTTTAAAAAAAAAAAATTACTTATGCTTGTTATATAATAGTCTTTGGGCATTCCATTCCACTTCAATTTTTTCCACAAAGTCGCTGCACTAAATGTCTGAAAATTATCTAACACAAAATGTCTTTGGGGTGGGGCCTCAGTAACTGCAGCTGCTGTAGGACTGCTTAACCAGACATGATTGCAGTGTAGCATTCTGTGTTACAGCCTAAACAGGTTGCTCAAAGAAATGATCTCCAGTCATCCAAAAAATTAACACATCATACTACTCTATAACCTACTGTTAGTGTAGTTAATGCTTATAAATTCATGTAAAGATTGTCTGATCAACAGCAGTGTGTGGACTAAGGAGGATGGCATTTGAAAGTTATGATTTTTGACCTTATATTGGCATAATTTGTATTTTTTTCAATAATGATGTACATTAAATTGTAAAGCTGCAACATGAATAAAAAGGAATTCTTTGTATTTATTGTGTTATTTCGTTTCAAAAACTATAAACTTTCTTCTCTGTTTGTACCCAACCCTGTAGTATATGTATATGTGTACCTGAATTGTTTATGATACAACAGGTGCATTTGTTGATATATATCTGCAGTTTTTATAGTTGTCCTTTCATTATATGTTTTATAATCTTTCATGTTTGAAAGGATTAATTAATATGTTAGCAGGTATTTTTATATCTGTAATTAGCCAATTGATTTTTACAGTAGATTTTAAATTGCCTGCTTATCAATAATAAAAATTAATTTTTCTTATTATTTAAATAAAAAATTAGCAAAAGTTCCTTTACTGCATTTTAAGAAATTTATTAAATAGATATTTACTATAGAATGATAATTATTGTTTTAAACATTACTTTGTATTTTAGTGCATATACCCAACTGAACAGAGAATAAAGACTTTACAATACATGGGACTAAATGCTCTGCAAATGTCTGTAAGTATTAATTTCCACTTTTGAGTTTAGTACTGTGAGAATTTTTAGAATGGTTTATAAATAAATAAAATTTTTAGTATTAATACAAATCTATTTTCTCTTGATGTTGTAATATAGTCTGAGATTGAACTGTATAAAAATAACACCTCAGTTATGTTGTGTACATAACCGAGTGTGTACAAAATTTGATTGATTAACTTGAGTAATTTGAGTACAAAATTTGTAACTGAATGTGTACAGTGTGTGTACAAAATTTTAGAACTGATTTTTAAAATCAATTCCAGCAAATCTGCTGAACAATAATATGCAACATTTATTACTATGACATTTCAACTTGCTTTTTCTAAAATATCATCTGCTTACAGATAGTGTTTTCTATGCAGTTAATTGTTTGCTTTGCCTAGTGAATGTTGTTCTGCATTCAAAGGCCGAAGAATGAATAACTGTAAAGCTTTGTTATAAAGCAGGAATTAATTCTGATTTTTTCAAACAAATTGAGATTAGAGATGAAACTTGATGCTTTGCTAATGATTCTGAGATTAAACAGAAGGTTCACCATGACCATTTCTTTAATCTTTCTTGATCGTAAGGAATTTGTTTCTGAGGGGAAAATGGTGATCTTCGTCTTCTCTGAAGTTGTACTGATTAAATATCTGAAAAGGAATTACTATGTTAAGTCTGAGAAAGCTTAAGGAAGTAACAAACTTCTGCTGCATGAGAATCTGTAGTCATACGATTCCATTCTTTTCAAACAACTGCAAGGGAAGATCAAAATTCTTGATCAGCATTCATCAAATTTTTCATCTTCACAGTATTATCTCTGCCCTAAAGTGAGGTCTCATCTCAAAGGCTATTATTTCAATGTCATTGAATAAATTCAGAAAATTATAGCCAGAGATTTTGGGCAGTAATCAAAAGATAAGTTCTGCTAAGGAATCAAGCACCTGTATGAAAATGCCAAGCATCATATAGACTTACAGGGATTCTTTATTAAACTGTAAAAAGTAAGAAGTTTGTTTTCTTGATTTTTCAGTTCTCTGCAAACTTAGTTCTAAATTTTCGTAGATACACTGTGTGAATGAATTGAATATTTTTTGGCTTTAAAATTGGGAACTTACTGAGATTCACGTTAAGGTGTGAAATTTATAAATTATATTGTGTAGAGACATTAGATATTTTTTGGAAAAGCCGGAGAGATGAAAAATGAGCAACGCCTTCACCGGGAATTGAACCATGGACCTCTGGAACACCGGCTCAGCGTGCAGAACCACTACACCATGAAGGCCCGCTAGGAAGGTGGGAGAAATACCTTATATATCCCCCTTTAAAGGGCAAGTGGAGTTTTTAGGGGACCCAATCGCCAAATCCTGGATGTGGAGAATCATCATCCAACATCCTTTTAGTTCGAGCACCACAGTAGAGACATTAGGTTTTTTTGGAAGCAGGCAAGATGAAAAATTAACAACCGCCTTCGGGGGGAATTGAATCATGGTCCTCTGAAATACTGGCTCAGTGTGCTAACCACTACATCATGAAGGCATGCTAGGAAGGTGGGAGAAATACCTTATAATTGGTTTAGTTGATAGGAACAAAACTCTTTTCCGCTCTTGAAGCATATCTTAGTGAATCTTTTCATAGACACATTTCTTTGGCTTTAGCACACATTTTGTTTTTTAAAGAATGAGTGGAAGTAGATCAGTAATTTCAAGAAATGGTTGCTCTCATTATATAGGAGTTATGAATATAGTTCACTTCTCTGAGTGCTTTTTTACTTATTTGTACAAAGTAAAAAGGAAGTATTGTAATTACGAAAAGTTTCAGGCAGCATATTTCAACGAAAATATCCATTTTGACTGCTATCGAATGGAATTTAATGATGTTTTTGCGTGATATCTGTACATAAGGACAGAATAAAATACTCATTTCCTTCAAAAAAATTATAAAACTACTTTAAAATTAATTCTGAAGAGAATTTTTTCGTGGCGTCTGTACGTGCGTACATACATATCTCGCATAACTCAAAAACAAATAGCCTCAGAACGTTGAAATTTTGTATATAGGAACTGCTGTAACATGTAGATGTGCACCTCGTATTTTGGTTGCAATCGGCCGCACCAAACGTATATAAATATACTTATATATA